TACAGTAACTCTATGAACAGCAGTTCTGAACTCTGCCCAATCCTGCACCATCCTCACTATCCCTGAGACACTTGAGCCCACTGTTATTGTCATTGTGTCAGTCCATCGTGTTGAAGCTCTTCCTCTCTTCCTCTTCACCTATCCTACCACGATGTCTTTTTCCAAGGACTGGTCTCTCCTGACAATATGACCAAAGTATGTGAAACAAAGTTTCACCATCCTTGCCTCTAAGAAACATCCTGGCTGCACTTTCTCCACCGCAGACCTGTTTGTTCTTTTGGCAGTCTCTGGGATAGTCAGTACTATTCTCCAGTATCACAATTCAAAGACATCAACTCTATTCCTCTCAGCTTGGCCTTGTTTTGATGGCTGATATTGAGTTTCTCCACAGTCTTTCCACAGATTTAGTCAATCCCTGTTCATCAGGCAAATTCTATGTACATGTCACGATTTATATTTTCTGGAAAAGGTATCTACAATGAGCAAATAATTCAGTCTACAAAATTCTGTCATTTGATCCCCAGCCTTATTTCTGTCATCAAGTCTGTATTTTCCAATTATCAGGCCTTCTTCGTTTCCAACTTTTGCATTCTAGTCACTATTATTAATGTCTTGATAGCACGTTTGATCAATTCAAGACTGTAAAAGTTGGTAGTAGTTACTGTTGTTATGCACCATTGAGTCACAACAAACTTACAGCAGACCCTCCAAGCAGGTTTTCAGAGGCAGTATATTGCAGAGGAGGAGATTACCCATCTTTCTCCCATGGAGAAGTTGGTGGATTTGAACCATGTGCCTTAGGGTTGGCTGCACAACTCTTCACCATTGAGTCATCAGAGCTCCAAAAGCTGATAGAAGTCCTCCATTTCTTTGTCTTTAATAGTTGGTTGGCATGTTTGAGAAATAGTTACATTAATAGATCTTCCTTGTAATGCATATGGATAGCATTCTGCCACTCACAGAATTGTACTTCATGATAGACCTTGAAATGTTCTCTTTGACTATGGCATCATTCTTCAATTTACTATTCCTGGCATAATAAATCATATGATTGCCTGATTCAAAATGGCCAATACCAACAGATCTCAGCTCACAAATGCTGAAAATACCAACCTGTATAGGTTCCATTTAATTTTTTTTACAACTTTCCATTTTCCTAGATTCATACCACATACATTCCTTGTTCCAATTGCAAATATTTGCTGTCATTTCCCTTCAATTTTTTAATGTGTTCCAATCTGAAGGGCTCTACTAGTTTTCTAACAATCTTTATTATTTATTTGTCTTTTGAAGGTCTGTGTTTCAGAAATGGATCTTACTTCTTAGTCTATCTTAATCTAGAAGTTCTACTGATCATAAGTATTTTAGGGTTCTTGGGCACAAGCAGTGAAAGTATCATAAGTCTCAGCATACTTTTCCAGCTGATAACTCTATGCTGGATTGAAAACAAATTTGTCTCTCTTGTATCATCTCCCTGATGGCGTCAGGGAAAAGCCAACACAGTCTCAAACAATGACCACTTTCTCCTAAGTGTGTTTGATCCCAAATCACTGATCCCCTTTCTTGATGAACAATAAAGACTCTATATTTCAGATCAAAGAGGTATGCTCAAGGACATAGCATAACCAAATTCTAGAATAACTCATGGGTCTTGGCGTTCATTTGAGAGACCTAACATCCCTTATCTGTTGTTGAGTACCATGAGTTGGAACCAACCCATATCCAACCCTCTGGCAGGTTTTCAGAGGCAGTTAATCATATGGGAGGAGACTAGATTAGAACCATATGCCTTCAGAATTGCAGTGCAGGTTCTTGCCACTAGGCCACCAGAGCTCCCCGAAGTTCTGGTAGCCTAGTGACAAAAAGCTGCGCTGCAGTCCCGAAGGCATGCAGTTCAGAGCATGGACAATCTCCTCCCATGTGATTACTGCCTCTGAAAACACACTGGAGGGTCTGCTAGGGCTCAGTTCCAACTAAAGGGACACAACAAGAACATGAGGTAATGGAAGTTCTGGTGGTCTAGCAGTAAGAAGCTGTGATGCCAACATAAAGGCACTTAGTTTGAATCCACCAGCAGCTCCACAGTAGAAAGATGGACAATCTTTATCTATTAATAAGCTTTTATCCTTGTTATAAAGTCCAAAGATAGAAGCTTGGTTAGATATTTACTTTACTTTGGTTATCTATTTTTAAGGAGTAAGCGGAGTAGCCACATGGTTTCTGAGAACATAGCAAGAGAGATATTGTAAAACACCATTTGAACTCAAGTGACTAGAATGGAAGTATTACAAACTAGAATTTTTTTTTAAAGCTTAAGGAAAAAGGTTTTGAAGAACTTGGAAGTCACCTTATTGTCACTCATCAATTTACAAACAAAGAAAGTGAAGGAGGGGCCCAGTCACCCCTACTGACAAATTGAGAACTTTTTTAAAAAAATTTTTAATTTTAATTGAAATTTTAACAAAAATTTATAAAGAACTTGGGTTTCCATTAATTCATTGTTGCACATTTTCCTCCCTTCCCCACCCCAATTAGTTTTCTCTTGGAAAAAAAATTCTTTCATTGTTGCACACGAATTGAGTACTCTTGGAAGACAGGTTTGCCCTAGATCTGTGTTTACTGTCCTTTGAAGAGATTCTAAAATGCAGATTGTGTTGACATAATCCCTTTTACCCATTGATGAAAAAAAAGAGGAGTGTGTGAGAGAGGCAAACCAGGAAGAACAAGTACAGCTCTCCAGTAATTCACAACTTTCCCCACCTTGTTGCAAGCTATTCCAGGCTCAGCTGTAGAGGGGTTACACCAGTACTGCTGATCCTGAGGGAGTGAGGGCTCCTTCATGTCAACCTCTATCTCCTCAGTACCCTCAAACTCTCATCTCTTAAGAGTTGGACATGTTGTTATTTGCCATCAAGTTACTTGCAACTCATAGTGACCCTGTGTACAACAGTTCTGAACCCTGTTCTATCGTAAGTCAACTTTATCATCTCTGCCACACCTACCCCTTATTACCCTATTCACTGAGTGAATCCATTTCCTCGAGAGTCTTCCTCTCCTGCGCTGTCCCTCCACCCTCCCAAGCATGATGTCCTTCCCCAAGGACTGATCCCTCCTTGCAATATGTCCAAAGTATGTCAGATAGAGCTTTAGAATCCTTGCCTCCAAGGAGCAGCATTTTCACAGACATGGGTTTAAAAAATGTAGAACTGTTTTTTCAGCGGCCTGAAATAGTGTAGCTGCCAGACGGTACATTCAGGAAGCACTTGCAAAATTCAGAATTGCCCTATCATCTTTTAGTATAGTGTGTGTGTTTCATTTGTTACTTTTCATAAAATTTTCCAATAAATAGGAACTTGATGATCATGATGAAGATGAGATATTTATTGCTCTTTCTGAACAACCTAAATTAATGAATGCATTTCCATATTGGTGGGTTTTTTGAAGTAGCCTTCATTATTTTCCATTTTTTTGAGCGCTACTATGTGACTATGCATCTGAGAGCTGGACAATGACTAGGATAACAGAAAAAAGAATTGATGCCTTTGAACTGTGGTGTTGGAGAAAAGTACTGAACATCCCATGAACGGCCAAAAAGCACAAATATGTCTTGAAGAAAGTACTGCCAGAGGGCTCCTCAGAGGCAAAGATGATAAAGCGTCATCTCACTTACTTCAGACATGATGCTAGAAGGGCCTGTTCCTTAAAGAAAGTCATCATGCTTAGAAAGGTGGAAGGTCGGGGGGAAAAAAGAAAATTCTCAACCAGATTTATTGACAGTGACTGCTGCAGTGGGCTCAAGTGTGTCAGAAAGTGTGAGGGTGCCACAAGATAGCACAGAGTTCAGATCTGTTGTTCAGAGGGTCACTAGGGGTTGTACTTAACTCAGTGGCCCCCAACAACAACAACAAGTGGCTTAGCCCATAGGAAGTTGCACTGATAAAACAAAAGCTGCATATCTTTGGTGGTTCATTCTGACAGCAACTTCATGGGAGAAAGATGGGCAATCTCCTCCTGGTCAGTTTACAGACTTGGAAACCTGATGGCTGCTCAGCTATGAGTTGGTTCCAACTTTACAGGAACAATTTGAGACTGTTTATCAAGGATCCCTAGTGTCAAAGTGGTTAGGTGTTTATCTGCTAACTGAAAAGTCAGTGGTTCAAACCCACAGCAGCGGCAGAACAGGAATAAGATCCATGAAGCAATCTGCTTCCACAACAATTATGTTTCTTTCACTGTCACCTCAAGGATGGATAGGAATCAGAATCCAATCAATATCAATGGGTTTTATATAGTGGCAACAGCAGCAGGATGTGGGGAGTTGGACTTGTACAAAGAATGAGAGCGGTGTGGGGGCACCACCTTTGACCTCCACTAAACGCCCAAGGTGGAACAGTCACCATCCGTAATATCCACAGCACAAAAAACCTATCCCCATGTGGACCATACTCCATGCTCCCTGTACCTACTTCTAACAATTCTATTATCAGTTGTCCTTCACAGAGTTCTTGATGCTCTTCTACTGGGTCCATAATCTACTTCAAAAGGTTCACAGAACCATATTTACTGTTACAAGGTCTATCAGGGAAGTTAACCTGTTGTAATTCAGCTTGGCAAAAGGATACAATTCCTCAGTCCAGACAGCTGCTCCTGTGTGCTCACCAGCCCTTTGACCATCAGCCTCACAGCTATAGGTCAATGTTACAAAGCTCTCTGAGTCCTGCCAGTTATGGTACCTGCCTCCTCCCTTGTGCTCCAACAAGCTGGAATGAAATTCCTCTGCTCCAACTCCCTGAGGTAGCAGTCTGCTGCTGCTCTCCTCTAGGTCCTGTTCTGAGGGTTGTGGGAATCTCTGGTCCACATGGACTCACTGATTCTTCTTGGTAGTGAGATTCCCATCTTCTGCCTCTAAACCTACTCAATTTAAGTCAGATAGAGTGGTAAAGCCACCCAATTCGTTCCTCTGTAGTCTGCACACCCTGTTTGCATGTTCTCACCTAGCCATGGGGCAGAAGTCAAAGGTGAACTAGGAAAGCCAATTCACACAATAAACCCTGCACATTGCAGGACTGGGTGACACCAAAATAATGGTCTATAAAATTTCCATGCAGTGTTTCATCAGAAATGTATTTTTTTTCTCATTAATAATTTTTTTCATTGATTACATGTTAAAAGATATTATGAATAAACTAAGTAGGTACATAAGGTCATTACGAGTCACAGGTGACTCTACGGCACAGAACAAGAACAGGACATAACGTACTTTTATAGAAATATCTTATAGTTAGTCACAAAAAATTATTTGTAAGCCTTGTTTACATGTGTCAATATGCCTAACCTTCTAATGTGCTCTCGTGAGAGCTGTTGTTACCCAATTCACACTGTGGTTTGGGCTGCACACTCTACGCATCCCGTGGGTGTTTTTATTGTCACTTATTTTATCAGCTTTTCTGATACTTTCACCACAATATTTTGATAATACCTGTGAACCTTAACAATTTTTTTTCAAATGAAGCAGTAATTGAAGGGAAAGGAGAAAAATTTAACAACTTCTCAGTTACTAAAATATCATTAATAATGCTGGAATTCATTACAAAACGATTTTACACAATTTCTGTGGTTGTTTTTGTTGTTATTGTTAGGTGCCATCAAGTTCAGTGCAACTCATAGCAACTCAGGGAACAAGAGGCCTGAACTCTGTCCTATTCTGTGCCGTCCTCACAATCTCTGACACTCAATTTTTGTTATTATTATATGTATAATCCAAGAAATATTACATTGAGCAATTTACAACTATATTTATCACATACTGTGATTCAAATTGATAATAAACATTGCTAGAATCTTTGCCTCACATACTTTGGGCATGTTGCTCAGAGGCACTATTTCTTGGAGAAGGACACGATTCTGGGAAGGATCAAGGGTTGGCCAATGAGAGGAAGACCTTCAACCAAGTGGATTGACCTGGTGACTGCTGCAATGGGCTCTTGTGTGTCAGGAAGTGCGAGGATGGTACAGGATTCAGATATTTTGCTCATAGAGTCGTTTGGAGTCATATTCAAATCTGTGTGTCATTTTCCTTGTGAATGTAGTTCCTGTGTGTGTGTGAGAGAGAAAGAGAGAGAGAGAGATGCTTCGGATGTTTTGGGGAACGAGAAGGAGGCATTCTATAAATAAAGGAAACACTTCTGAGTCTTTCCACACCCAAAGGTGGCAGGGAAGATGTGGCCCTGCAGGGTGGGGCTTCCTTGTTTTCCAAGTGGCTTGACTTGTTTAGGTCACTCAGCACCCGAGTTCAAATCTGAAACTGCTCACCTTCGCACAAAAATGTGAAGTGATGAATTATGTTACTTGTACTTTGCTATACGTAATACTAAAACTGTTAGTATTGTTAAAGTTGGTGTCATCCAGTGTGCTAACCCAGCGTGTCACACTTCCCCAAAAAACTCCTCGCAGACCAGGCCACACAAGATTCCCTGTTGTTGTTACTGTGTAGTTGAATATGACTTCGAACGACTCTATGAGCAACGATCTGAATCCTGCCCCCCCCCCCCCCCCCCCCCCCCCGCCTTAATTGCGCTGAGGTCCTCTTGCGTTACTAGACCTCGCTTACATCCCCTCTGCTTATTTGAACAGTCTCGGTTCCTCTCCCTTGAGTCTCACGCAAATTTCCAGTCACCCAGTGCCTGTCCTTCCTCCAGAAACGTGGGAACTGCGAGGTGTGGGCCTTTAACTGAAGGACAGGCACAGAGGACACAGAGGAAAGACACCTCTAGGCTCCCCACGGACCTCAGTACGGTTCCTTGCAGGGGGTGTCATCCTTACGCCACGAACGCACCTATTTTCCAAATCTACCAAGTGTGTCTTCAACAGTTCCACTTATGAGAATCACACTGCAAAAGAGCAGTTCGATTATTTTTCTGGACCCCAAAACACCCCTTCCCCTGGCCCCAGATAAAACCAACAAACCTTGAGCCCCACCTACCCAAGGAAAAACCGACCCGCCAGCTCTGGAGTCTCGATCCTAACACTGAGGTGCAAGCGGACCCCCACGATCCTGGCAAGCGCGCATCACGCGCTAGCTCTGAGGATCTGACTCCCGTTCTTCAGCCACTGATCCCACCCCACAACCAGGCCAAGGGTCAAGTGCAGACCCCGCCGCCACCTTCACATGGTGTGGGGGTGGGAAGGGCGGTACCCAGCAGGCGTCTGTCTCTCCTCAGCACTGGAAGGAGGCTGCGCGCTGGCGCTGGTCCAGGCAGAGGGGGTGGGCACAAGACACCCCGCTGGGGACCCTCAGGCTGCGGACCCAGGGCCTAGCCTAGCCTTAGCCCGCAGCCTTCCGGAAGGAGGCGACCACACCTTCTGGGGCGCCAGACGGCCCCACCTTCCCGTGCGGTGCAGACAGAGGCTAGTCCCCGCCCTGCCTGAGATCCAGAGGCCCCTCGCCCGGGGCACCATGCTGTCCAGCGGGGGCTCCTATGCCGGGAGGAAAAGAAAGAAGCCGGTACGGAAGAGGTATGTGGACTGGGAAGGGCAGGCAACGTCTTTGGGGTGCTAGAAGTGTGGGGGCTGCGAGCGCTGCTGGGAGGCTGCTGTGCGCCCCTCTGAGCCGCAGAGCCCAGCCTAGAGTGCCTGCTCCCGCCAGTGGCTCCAGAGCTGCGAGAGGGTGGGACGTCTGTGTTGGTAGCTGGGATCCCCTGCCTTTCCCCCGTGTTTACCCCTCTTCTGTGGCTCCAGTTGTGGAGCAGAGAATCAGAAGTACCTTCAGGCACATGTGCTTTAAGTATATTGGCTGGAGGATGGATTTCTTTTTAAAGATCTTTTCCTCCTGACACCCCCCTCCCCCCTGTATATGGTAACTGTAATGTTTTAAACTTTCACCATAAATTCTGATCCTCTTTCAAGCGTTGTTTTCCAGGAAGAGCGCACGGAGTTCTTCAGGGTTATCTCCTGCGCTCCTCCGCGTTTACCCAGCACCCGGGATGGGATCTGGAGCACTCACAGATCACCATCCTGGAGGGTGGTCTTGGTGCTGAGAGAGCACTCCAGCGAGTGCGGGTTGCCACTATAGCTTTTAAAATGGGATTTCTGATCGCTGATGCAGGTAGAGAACCCTTCCCCTTCCGGATTCTTGACGCCCAGGAGGTTTTTCTCCCCCAGCCTGTTCAAGTACCCTTGGTGATTGTGAGGGTGAAGGTAAATAGCCTGGAACCATCAAGTCGACTACCACTCTCAGAGGCTCTGCGAACCAAATACCTGAACCTTGCCCTATCCTGCGCCATCCTTAAGACCCTGTCCTGCTCAAGCGCACTGTGGTAGTCACTGAGTCAGGCAATCTTGTCGAATGTGTTCCTCTCTGTCATTCACCTTCTGCCTTTCCCACCATAATGTCTCTGAGGACTGGTCCCTCCTGAACATAGGTTGAAAGTGAGTGAGAGGAGATGTCAGTGTCCTTGACCCCAAAGAGTACTCTGGTTGCACTTCCTCCAGGACCTTTACTGTTTTGGCAGCCCATAGTACATTCACTTCTCTTCTCCAACACTACAGTTCAGAGCCATTGAGCCTTCTTGTGTCCTCTTTATTCACTGTCCAACTTTTCAGCTGCATAAGAAGGATTTGAAAACTCGCCTAACGTGAAAGCTCTGTGGAGAGAACCCTCCGGGTCAAAAGCTGGGAACATCCAAGCTTTTCCCCAATGCTGCCTGTCATGTGTGCCCTCTGCCCACAGCAGCAAGTGATGGTTCCCAAAGAATCTGCAAAACAGGAATCGGGAGACTTGAGAGCGCAGGAGGCTGTTTAAAACAATTAGGGCCTGGAAGCCTTCCCAGAGGGCGCAGTGCTTTGCCTGGGAGAAGTCTGCCCAGTACAAACCCAGTGTCTATGAGATGGGAAAAGCTTGCTTGCAAGTCTGTGTCTGAGATATTTACAAGAGATCTCAAAAATGCCAATTCTAATCCTAATTTTTAAAACACATGGAATTCCACAAAAGAAGCCAGACACTCACTCCATTTATATAAAATACCCAGAACTGATCAGTTCATAGAGATGAAAAGTAGATTAGTGTTGCCAAGGGGCTGAAGGAGAGGGGTGTTAGGAGTGATTGTTAATGGGTGCTGGGTTTTATTTTTTTTTTTTAGGTAATTTGTTGTTTATTTTAAAAATAGTATACTTCTTTGATTATATAAAGTCTTAATTTTGCACTTTTCATATAGTTTCATATGTAATTAACATTGAAGTTGTGTTGCTAAAAATATTTCATTCCCTGATCCATGTGTATCTGAAAATATTTAACAAAAAACCCAAACCTAAAAGAAAACCACAAAATACACAAACTCCAAGCTATTTAATAGACTCTGGCTCATAGAACATTTATCACGTTACTATGTGTTTTGTTTTTTTTAAGGTAATAAAATTCTAGCATTGCCCAGTAGTGGCGGTTGCACAATATTGTAATGTCCTTAATGACACTGAATTGTAAACTGAAAGTAGTTACATTTCTTTTACCACAATAAAGAAATACAACAAAACGTTTTCAGGTAGGTTGCAGAAGTCCTAGAGCCAGGCTCCTCTCCCAGGGCAGTAGAGCCAGCAATCGTGGGTTCATTGGGAAAGATGTTCAAACTGGGGAATGTTTGGATCTACTTTTGCTTCAGTACAGCAGTAATTCTCAGTGCAAGGCCCGCTTAGTGTGGGACTGAGCAGCACTTAGTTCTGTTGTTCATGAGGTTGCTCTGAGTTGAAACTGCCTTGACAGTACTTAAAACAGTACTTTCATCATTTTAACAGACAACATCAATGTTTATGAATTTGCCAGTCTTTGGATGCAGGGCCTAGGGTCTGGCTGGTGATCTTCTTTAATTGATAAACCACACCCACTGTGGACTGTCTACAAGGTAAAGACAAAATCACTCTTTGGTTTGTACCCGCTAGAAGAATGCCACTTTCTCCGCTTTCTTTCAAAACTATTCAGGGTATTTTTCATAGGAACAATGCTTTTTCTTTGTGCTTATGTTTCTCTAGTGATCACAACAACAAAAAAGCTGGCATAAAATGATTTCCTCCAGGATTCTTGGTTAGCCTACAGCTCACCAGTGGGAACAAAGCCTTCAGTTCTTGGAGGGCTGTGGCAGCAGCTGTGGTATTGGCAGCGTGGACTTGAGTGACGGCTGGCAGAGGGAATGGCCAGCACTGGATGATGGGGACAAGGGAACCGTGTTACATGAACTGAGTTATGTGCTTGTTGGCAATTTGATTCCTTTAGTGTTATAATCCTATTTCTCTTTCAAGTTTATTGTTGTACACAATTGCAGTGGAGGTGGGGACTTATATTACAATGCCCATTTTACAGAGGAGTCATTGAGCCTAGGGAGGAAGGTAAGGTGGGGAAGGGTGTGGGTGAAGGGGCTGCCATTGAACCCTGCCTCACCTTTAGTTTCTGCACTGAACTTCTCCAGCTCCTCAGGAGAAGTAGTGAAGGGTATGATAGGAACTGTGTTAAGAAACCAAGGATTTAGTGACCAACGCCTTGGAAGAGCACATAGGATCAAGACCAAGGTGGTGGTGGGGGAGCGGTGGTCAGCTGGCAGAGTGGGGAGGGGTGAGCTATTCAGCCTTCAGGATTTTGACTTGCGTCTGATGAGGGAGTTCACATGGCACCTGCCTGAGCACCCATCCTCCAGTGCCTAAGTCCTTTCTCCCTGTTACACTTATCATTTGAATGTCTTATGTGGACTTCATGGTGACTTGACTGTGTCGAATCACTTGTTTTATACAGAAAAGTAGACAACTGATTTTACCTCTGAAAGAACTGAGACAATGGAAGATATAACTAACCTCACAGAGCCATGGCTGAATTTGTTGAATCTGGATCAACTGCTTTGAAACAGGCCCTTGGGAGGTTGGGCGGTCCAGTAACAGCTGATCACCATACACTCTGGTCAAGATGCTCTAGAGACTTTCATTGCCCAGCTTGATCACACCAGCTGCTGCTAACAACATCACAGCCTCCTCCTGTCTGCCCTTTGCGTCTGTGAGATGTGGCTAATGGCCCTTGCACTCGGACAGAGATGCCTACGTTTATACAAGCTCAATTTGGGGGCATGGTCCCTAAGAAGGAATTGGTGCTGCATTGGCCTCTGTCTGGGAAGTTACTAGTGAAGTCCAGTTATTTCAGGCTGTTTTAAATGCTCCCTGGTGTGAGACCTTCCTTTTCACTTGGATGCAGAGTGGGAGAAGGACCCCATTAGTGAAGTGAGGAGACAGTTTCCGGCTCAGCATGACCTGGGGCGGGGTATCATGCACCACAGGTCTTCACCCCCCGTGGGTGCAGGGTACAGGCTCCACCACCCTCCGTGTGCCCTGCCCAGGGCATAATCAGGACTTTGAAAGGTGGTCCTTTTTCTTTCATTCTGCTTAATCCCACCCTACCCCTCATCTTGGATGGCCTTTCTCTAGAGTCACCCAGAAGACAAGCCTACCCATCCCCTCTTCTGGCTGTGCCCGCCTCTGCTAACCCAGCCTCTGGGGAGAGACACCCAGTCCTTCACTGAAGAAATCCCAGAGATTTGAACTTGCCCTTTTCCTTATACCCACTCCCCTGTAGCACAAAGCCAGCCTTCCATGGCGTCCTTAAGCCTCCAGAACTGGTGGGAGGCCAGTCCTCCTATATCTTCTGCTTCATCCTGGCCAAACTTCTTTGTCCCTCCTTTGACGTAGCCCATCCTGTGACTCAGCTCAGCCTTTGCAGGATCTTCGCCTGTCCCCGCCTGTCCCCGCCCCACTCCCGTCACACAGGGGGTCAGTCAGGGCACTTCTTACTCCTCACACTACTCTGTCTGCTTCCTCAGCTGGTATCTGAATTCTGGGACTTTTCCTATCCTCTTGGTGTGTGGATGCTCTCACTGTCTCTTAGACCCCCAACTTTCTCCTCCTCGTGTATCTCCTTCTCTCAGTTCTCTTGTCCTCAGCCCACAATGCCTTGGTGCCCCCAAGATTCCAAAATGTCTGTGGGTACCCCTCCATCTCATGCCATGGAAGGGGTGACAACGCTCATCTAGGATCTAGTCTTGGATCTCTGCCTTCTCTCCTCACACTCCTGTTTATCTGTTATCAATTTTATTACAGCTATTATTAATACAGCATGCCAGAGCACTCTTCAATTAAACCCTGCAGAAATACACCCTCACCCTCTGCCCGGTGTCCTTACCTCATCTGTGTTTTTCGAACTCCTGGCAGCCTTGTTTGTCTCCAGGAAAAGCTGCCTTTGGGCCTGTACTCTCGGCACCCACCTTCTCTGTTAGGGCTCCGTTTTATGGAGTGCATGTATCTGGGACAGGGACCCTTCCTTTTCCTTCTCTTTGTTCATTGCTATCACAGGTAGCAACCTCAGACCAACAAACATATCCCTCTAAGACTGTGTTAAAGGGGTATCAGCTGAATTTATAACCCATGGCATTCTGATGCTGTACGCATGTGGTTGAAAATCAGCATCAGCTGAAAGTCATAATCTGTGCCAA